AAATGACAATTTTAGCTTCAAAAAGCATTATTCAGAACTTAATTATTCCTGTCGCTCTTTAAATAAAGTTGAGAAAATAGAGGAGTGATAAGACATGATGAGAAGAAAAGGAAAGGCCTGGTTTCAGAGGAACCAAAAAACACTTGATTAAATGAAAGTTACTGAGTGCATGCCACAAATGAGGCACCGGATCTGGGGCTACAGGGCAGCTTTTAAAGGTTGTCATGACCCACTGGGTCTCAAGCCAGGCATCTAATTTCCTTACTAGTCATCTCAAGCTGCCAAATGCAATGGCTGGAGATAACCTCCACTGTCAGTTTGTGTCCTCAACACTGCATGACAGTCCTTTGAGTTTTCTTTAGTAGTTCTCCTTCTTGTTCTAGACATGCTTGGCCTGGTCCATGCCCATTCTCTTCACCCCACTTGCTCACTCCTGTTCTTCTTGCTCTGGGAACGAGTATCTTACTTCACAGAGCAAGGAAAAGATCACTGGGGGAAAATTCTATAATTTCCCACCCATCCATCTTTCCACTTCGTTATTAAATAATATTAAGCATTATCGACCAATTACTATGCTACTCCAAATATATAATTTTGTTTTCTAATTTCACAGATTATACATTCTTTTACATTTATTGATCACTGATTCATAGAATGATTGGATTGTAAAGGCAATTGATATCATCTAATTTTCCCTCTTTCTTTTGCATGAGGAAAATAAAACCTAGAGAATATGCTTAAGGTTCAATGAAAAGTCAGTAACAAAAGTCCAAATTACAACCCAAATCCAATTATCATTACCAATTTCTGATTGCACTGCCCATTTGGGCTCATTTGTCTATCTGTGTAACATTGGAACTCTGCTCCCTGAGCCTCTGAAATGATTATCAACCTGAAAAGCAATGGAGTAACTGAGAGTATGATGTGATCTCATGCTTTGGGAGATGGGGAAACAGCGATCCAATCAGGATTAAAACTGTTAGAACTTAGTCTATAACAATAAGGCCTAAAATATTTTCTACATTTCTCAATCTTGATGTCCATCTTCTGAATTCCCCAAGGCCACTGACTATACCTTAAATGCAAGCTTGCTGAGCAGTTGGTGTGCATGCTCAAAACTCTTGCTAACCCAACAGAATGTACTAGTATGTGTAGACCCAGATCTCTTGCTGTGCACAATCAGAAGCAATGGACATGCTCTTGCAGAAGGAAACTTTCACAAGGTTAGCAAGGTTGTAGCATAAGAACCTCTCTGGGGTATGGCTTAGCATGGCTATGGGTGGTCATGGATCTCACCCCCTGAGCCACACATCCTCTGGGACGAGAAGACCTCATCTTCAGACATAGCTACTCAAAGCAGATGTGTGTATATGATTCTCTACCTCCAAGAGATCAGAAATATCATGCTTTGGCTGCAGACCTTTTAAATCTTCAGTGATATTTCCTAGATAATAGACCCAGAGGTACCTAGACCTCTGAAACATAATATCTTTTTTCTTTTCCAAATTTTATTAGAAAAATTTTCAAACATACAGACAATTTGAGAGAACAACACATACCCATCATTCAATTCAACAGGCGTATATATTTTGCCATATTGCTTTCTCCCTTTATTACATTTTAATACCTGAAAAGTTCACTGAAGAAAACCCTATGAAAGAAGCTCACTCAGACCCTGTGAATGACTGGCCCTCTCTCAGCCTTCCAGCCGATCTTTGTCTCAATGAGAGGGGAGTTTAAGTTAGTTAATGATCTTGCCTGTGCCCCAGAAATGCACACAACAAAAATCACCCCCTAGTAAAATGGAACCAGTGTGAACTTCAGGACCTAAAGATGCACCTTCCATAGAACACTCAGGCCTACTGTTCGGTAGGGCTTTATTCTATCAATCAAGAATAAAGTCTGTATCTATAGACCCAATAAAAGTTGTTTCCAGCTAACTTTTCTAATCCTGTTTTCCTTTGTGTGATCTCAGCTGATTCCTCCTGTTCTTTACTCCCACCTTGCCAGTACATAAAGAGTAGGACAGAATGGAGAAGAGCAACATCTTTGCATTCAGACAACTAAACTCAACTACGCTCTCCTGCACAATGGCTGTGGAATTTGGTACACAAGTTTCTTCACTGCTGCATGTAAGATGCAGAAAATAGTAACTCACTTTGTAGGGCTAAAGTTAATATTGAATGAGATAATATATGCCAATTTCTGGCACTGTGATAAGTACATGCTAAATCCTTTAATGAGTACTAGCTACTGATATTAATATTATTAATATTTTAAGTGTTGTTTCAGTGCAGTCACTATTGAATATAGATGCAGTATAAATTTCTTACTAGACTGTCAGCAACAGAAAATGACTGGGTTGGAGGTGGGTAAGTAGGAGGAGGGGCCAAGTATTGCTGAATCAACCATGACATGTTAATTTTAACTGAATGCCTTTTACTTACCTATTATAAGTGAACCTCCTGAAGCTGAGAAAGGAATATCTAGTCCGCATTAAATTTCCAGCTAAGAAATAAAGTGTTCTACTATTTATCTGTTAAAACTGAAGAGAGGGAAGTAAAACTCAGTGGAAACCAAGCAGGGAGGAGGGGGGAAAAGAAGATGGGTGAAAATCTACCTAACGGGTAGAATGAACACCATATGGGTGATTGGCACACTTTATAACCCTGACTCTAGCATAACAAAAGCAATCTATGTAACCACAAACATTTGTACCCCCGTAATATTTTGAAATAATAAAAAAAATTAGGAAAAAAATAGATTGGACATTTATAATTTTCCTGAAAAACCTCTGTATCAATTTCACCTTCAGAATTAACAATCTAACTGAGAGAACAATCACAATTCATGAGCCTGTTCCATGCAGATGTGTTAATTTGATGCATGTCAGATGTGTTCAGAAACCTGTATAAATTGTCAACAGCCCTTGTTGGAAGTGGGAATGGAAAAATGATGATTTCCTACTGTCATGAGTTTAAGGCACAACAATGATGTCCAGGTGGTCTTACTGCTAAGAATGAGTGGTCATCACTTTTTTGTCTGATTAATGACTTAATGACATAAAGAAGCCAATTTATCATCCATATTGGTCCTCCCTTCTGCCTTTGAATTCCAAAGACATTCTGATTGCTGATTTTCCCGTCCTCTCAACTTTGCATATATGCATTTATAAATTCATTCTCGAGCTTTACTGAGCTGCTATTTACGGTGCAGGTGCTTTGTTCGTGTTAGAGATACAAAGAAGAATATGATGTTTTCTCTGCCCTAAAGATGTGTATCCTAATGAAACAGGATGAGCTGATTTCTGCATTGTTCCTGTGAAGGTGAAATGATATGATGGGCAAAATGCATCGAGCACCGGGTCTGCTCTGGGTAACTTATCATTTCTATGTCTCCTGAGTTTTTCCAGACTTTTACTTTCCTCAGTGCTTAACTTTTAAGAAATGCAAACTACAACCTCTTCCATTTCCCTGTTTTCCACTGTCCACACAGTCATCCTCTCATCAAGGTCTTTGTGAAACCTCATGTTTTGTAGTTGATTCCAAGTACTAAGTTTAGTACCACGTATCCGTTGAACACAATTCTTTCTGTTACTAATTTCAAAGTCCACCACTTTGATGGAATCTTTTCAGACTTTACCGGTCAACTTATTTTCTTTCTCCTCTGATTCCTTCTTTCCTAAGGCTTGTACGTGAGCAGTGCTGGTGTCTAATTTCTCTCCTCACCACTAGTGCCTGACATAGAGTACAACCGTCTTTCTCTACCTCTCTTGTTCCTCCCTCCTCTGACAGCCAAATGTCTTTTTCTCTACAAATGTGATAAACAAAAAAGCTGATTATAAGGATCTAAGAAAACACATCAGTCAGCTCTGAACATAGCAGAAAATTAGAAGTGAGATAGAATAGATAAGAAAAATGTGGGAGTGAAGGAATCCCTATGTAGTGGTTGGGGGCTCTGGCTCTGAACTTGGAACAGGGTTCGAATCCCATCTCCAAAGATTACTTTCTTTGTGATCTTGGGCAAGTTGCATCAGCTTCTGTTTCTTCATTTGAAAATACAGATAATATCAGTTCCTAATGTATGAAGTTGTTGAAAGGATTGACTATAATAATGCATGGAAAGCACTTAGCCCAATGTCTGATCTCTAACAAGTTTCAATAAATGAATACTATTATTATCATCACTATTAAGAATAAGCAACAACATATTTATGTAAAATGGAAGGCAACTGAAAGGCAACCGAAAAACGTCAGAGGCAACTGAAAAATGTCAGAATTTAGAATTTCTTCCCCTATAACGCAGATAAATCCTTTATACTGTAATGTTATCAGAGTAAGATAGATACAGTTTTTCTTTATGTTTTTCCAGAAAACCATCTATTGCTTTTGATACAAAATAAACTTTAAAGGAAGAAGCTCTTCTATTTTACAAATTATTCTCACCCAAATAACAAAGCATCACAATTCCTTTCTGACATAGAGATACATTTAAGAGGGTACATTCCTATTAATAAACATGAGATAACTACTTCATTTATTTGCAAGTCTGATTGCTCCTTGGAGGGTGAGAGGGTACAATAAGCTTTCCCATCATCAGAGGACCATGACCCAGTTCAGGCAGCTCAAGAAGCAATTTATAAAACCCAGCATCTGCCACATTCAAACAATTATTTGGCATTCATAATTTTTTTCCATACTAAAGAAACCCTGTCTCTCAGCTATTTTTATATTGTTTATCCCCACTCCTTAAAGAAAGCAGCTTTAGGATCAGCAGCTGATATTGGAAGATAATTCACTAAAACTTAGTCTTGGCTGGGGCTAAGTCCCTTTGTAAGCACGCTACCTTAAGCTCTCAGATGTCTACCAGATAGGAGGTTTAACTCCTTCTCAGGAAAATGGAAGAAAGAATAAAGAAAAACAGCACACTCTTTCCCTCCAGTAATAAACAATAGCTATTTTGTTCAGGAAAAGTCCTATTTTGAAATGGGCACTACAGACCTGAGTCCATAAAGGACTGTGCCATCAGGATGCAGGCGGATCATGCGGTTCTTTACAGTCACTCCGTGCACAAATGACTTCTTATCATTCAGGAAGTAGGTATCAGGCACCCAGAGCTGGTCTGCCACTCTATTGTCCAGAGTCAAGTTTAAAGGTATTACATTATAGGATAGCCTCTTATCTCTCCAGGCTTGCTGAAAGTACATTGTCAAGGTATAATCCTGTGAATGTAAAAAGAAAAATGGTTACTCTGTATCCAAACAGACTTGAGAGATAAGCAAACACCTCAATATTAATAAGAAAAAAAATATATGTGGCCACATAGTATAAATATATACTAGTCGCATATATACACAGATATTAATTTATTAAACCCATGCTTACTAAGCACTTCCTACATGCCAGGTACCGTAGTAGGTCCTATTAATATGAATACAGAAGTGAAGAGAATATATTCACATAAAGTTTATTATATATTTCCCAGTAAAGATGTAAGGAATAATACTTAATAATTAATTTGTGTTACCCAAAGTAGAATATATAGGAGTGTTTTAGGTGATACATAAACACAATTTAATAAATAGTCATGTATTTGTTTTTATGTGTACTAAAAAATTAACTAGCACATCAAATCTAAGATTTCATGAATTCATTGTTCCAGTCATTCATTCAATAAATGTTTAATTTGTGTCTAATACTCGACAGGTATACTGTTGAAGTGCTGTATTGAAAGTGGTAAACAAGACAGATCAAATCCCTGTTCTCTGGGAATTTATAAATAAAGCATAGATAAATCAACAGAATGTCAAGTAATGCTACACTCTATGAAGCAAATAAAACAAGGTATGATATATTTAGTTGGAATGGTGAGGAAAAACCTCTCTAAGGAGTTGGCATTGTGCTGAGACCAGATAAGGAGTCCAAACCATTGATTCTAAGGAGAAAACCCCAAGCAGAGGAGAAACTGCAAATGCTCTAAGGCAGAAATGGGCTTGGCAAGTCTGAAGAACAGAAACGTAATCTGCTTGTTAGAGCTTAGTAATATACAGAGAGAGTAAAGAGCAGTCAAGAAAATTAGCTTCATAAAATTTACAGCTTAGTAGGGAATGCACGTTTAAAATAGTTTGTTACAAAGTGATTAATTTATTACTGTAGTAAT